GGCAGACAGTCAAAGCGACTAAATGTAATCTTATTAGTCAAAAGGTTTTGTGTGTGTGTGTGTGTGTGTGTGTGTGTGTGTGTGTGTGTTGTGTGTGTGTGTGTGTGTGTGTGTGTAGAGGTTTCACTACCTTTCTCGGTCTCTGTTGCTGTTTCGTTTCAGTAAAAAGCTGTCTAATGACTAAGACTGCAGTCTTTGCTGTATCACGACCTGGACAGTGAGTCAGCACCCAGACCTTGCTCCTCTACACACACACACACACACACACACACACACACACACAAATACAGACAATGATTTAGCATATGATGCAGACAAACATTCATATTCCTGACACAAACAAACACCCCCCACCCCCTTCCCTACAACCTCTATCTCTCTCTCTCTCACACTGACGAACACTGGTAGCGCTGCGTCGTGACTGGGGGCGATGTGTTCCTCTTAATATGCACAGACGACTGTCTGAGGATCACACTGGCATGCTGGCACACACAGACAAAGATCCTCCCCTCTACTTCAGCAATACAGAGTGTGTACTGCATTTGTGTATGTGTGTGTCAGTGTGTGTGTGTGTGTGTGTGTGTGACAGAGAGCATCCACTCCGTGTAGTAAGGACCACTCTGTTGTCCAACATGTTCTCCTGCTGTGCCATAGTGTTAGCCTACATTACCCAGAAGCCTGCTGTCTGTTATGTATCCATGTCACTTCCTGTTCAACAGTTTGTGTTACACATTCCTAGACACCATCACATAGTCAGGGGGATGATGCTCATTGGCCTAAAAGTCTGGAAATCCCCCTTGTCCTATCCCCTAAGCTCTCTCCCTAAAATGTACACACGGATTCACATGCACATACACTTGTGCCTGGAGGAATCAGCATCAGCAGACACAAGACCCCATGAAATCCTGGTTTTGGGGGCAATGTTCGGTATGTTGTAAAAAAACACAAAGTGCTAAAGTGCCTTACAGTCAGTGCTGCATTCATCACAGAGGTGCTGTATATCACTTTTTAACTGTTTCTGGTTCAGTTTGGTCCCTTTCACAAATGACTCTGTACCTGTTGCAGAAACTGAACATGAGCTGTGGAAAGGGAAGTACTATCTTTGCTACATGCTCCTCAACTGTTACAGTATTTTTTCCCCCATTTCTCATTCAGACAGTTGTAAGCAGGATGTGTTGTCAGTACACCCCCACCTCCACCCCTCGACTCCACCCCAACCAACCCCTCAACCCCATGTCACATGACTCTGAGTGACACCATTCATCCTGAATCTATGGACTTCAGGACACAACTACGTTAAATAAACCCTCAGACAGACAGAACTAACTTGATTTCACACACTAGTAGGCACACTGGCCTGACAGAACACTATGCAGCGGTGTAACTACAGGCCTGCTAGATGTTATTAACTGCACACACACACTTATGCATACAAATACATGCACATACCCATGCAGACACAACCTGACTGAAGCACACAGAGGCTTAGCAAACACACAGCCAGCCAAGCTTATAATAAAGAGACACATCCCGGTGGGAGAACATGTACACACATACACACTCGCACACTAGATAATCAGACATCCATGTGATCACACACACACACACACACACACGCTCAATCGCAAACACTCACATCCTCCCACCGGCACATGTGGACAGGCACGGCCAGGCCCTCAGTCTAGACGAGAGGCAGAGAAGAAGAGGAGAGAAAACAGAGGTAGAGAGGAGGGGAGTAGAAGAAGAGAGGTACTGGATGTACTTACCCCGTTTCTGGAGCCATCCCTCTCTAACGATGGTGACATCGCTCATGGTTCCTTCACGCCGAGTCTGATGCCGCTACACGCCTGCTCCACAGAGAGAGAGAGAGAGAGAGAGAGAGAGAGAGAGAGAGAGATGAGCTACTTTCC